GAAGGAAGGAAGGAAGGAAGGAAGGAAGGAAGGAAGGAAGGAAGGAAAGTGATCATTAGTGATACATATCAGAATAATTGCAACTAATAGAGCTAAGTCACAAGGAGGAACAGCATTATACAGCACACACAAAACCTATACTGAGGTTTGATTTTATATTGTTCTGGGAAGCTTATGCATCTCTGAGTTTGTACATCTTTTTGCCCACACAAACACACAAACACACAAACATGCATACATACATACGTATTCTGAAATCCTTTCTGTGTTCTTCATTAATACAGGTAAATGTTTTGCTGTTTTATTGTTGTTTTAAAGTTTTGAAACAATTTTGCGATCTAACCCCCACATTCTGGTTGTTGGGGTGTGTAAGTTAAATGATAAAGAGAATAAATGCAGTCTTCAGCCGCCCTCCAAGTTTTAGGTTCAACTGGTGGGAGAATTATGGGATGGGGAGCAGATGGAGAACTATCTATGCCGTTTTAAACTCTGTACCAGAAATGTCAATCAAAATGTAATAAATGTACTGGAACCTATCTGAATGTTCATCATCACACATCTATTAAAAGAGCCTTTGTTTTTTGCCCAGTAATGATTGTAATTACGTTGATTCATGGAAGGGGGAAGGTTGTTTCACTCTGTCCCTTACTAATTAGATTTGATTAATTTAAATCTTAATATTTGTCAGGAATGTTCTCTAAGCATAGCGAAGGTGTCTCCATCTCAGAAATATTGCCACCCCAGCACTGTTCCTCAGGTCATGTGATCAGTTCCTCCATCTCTACTGGCAGCAAAGTTAATTTCTGCCTCCACTTCACTGTATTGAATGGCTTTCAAAGTACTTTCTCTCCTCTCTGTCTCAAGAGCAGGGCCAAGGCTACCATTTCACGTAGGTAGTCATCATTTAGTGACTGCCTCGCTTGCTGACCATTTACAGTTGCAATGGTGATGAGAAAGTAAATCTGCAACCAATCCTTGCATTTACGATATTTACAGGTCTGGAAAGTAAATGAAAACTAAAGCAGGACCAGAAAGGGGGTGGGTTCCTGCCAGTTCTAAGCTCTTCTATAGAAGAGGTTCCACAAATCTACCATGCCGTTTAGAACCGGTTCCAACTCCCTCCCCCCGCCCGTCCACACATCATCAAGATGAAGAGCGAGAGGAGGAATTCTGGGAGTTGAAGTCCACAAGTCTTAAAGCTGTCAAGTTTGAACACCCCTGGGGTTTTTTTTCCAAAGGGTTAGGGGTCTTGTAATTTGACAGCTTTAAGACTTGTGTGCTTCAAATGCCAGAGTTTCTGAGCCAACATTTTGGTTGCTAAGCAAGAGCGTTGTTAAGTGGGATTCACCACATTTTACAAGTTGGCCATGCCCACCCAGTCACATGACTGCCAAGCCACTCCCACCTGGTCACATGGTCAGCAATCCACTCCCACCCGGTCACATGGCCAGTAAGCCACTCCTGCTTGGACACCAAATTGCCAGTCCCAATTGTAAACAAATATTATGTGTATTATCTTTAAAATGAGCGATGGGGATGAGCGGGCTTTGAAAACATCTTCATAATAAACGGCTGCATGACTTGGAAATCACAGAAGGTAACATGAAAAGTGATCAGATCCATCGATAGAGACAAGATCTGGTGCTGTTGGGTTTCAAGTCCTGCTTCCCTCATCAAATGCTTTGAGGAAGACCGTTGTAAGGAGAACCACTCCTCACTTTGAAAATGGTTTTCAAGGCCAAAATAAGGTCTGCAGGGAAACACCGTTTCACTCAACTTGAAACATGCTCCACAGGTTTGACTAAAGGCCACACAAAGCCAGACTAAATGAAAACATAATTTATTCATAAATTCTAATTTATTTAATAAAAATACAAAAATATAAATATACATATTTATATTTGTATATATATATATTTAGATAGATAGAAAAATATGAACCAACACAGACATTTTAAACTCAATAAATATGGCAGTAATATTCATTCTTTTTTTTTTTTTAAGGAGTAATCCGTTTATATTATAGGATACGGGACAGTATAAGGGACAGTAGCAAGAAAAGTGAAGTAAAGTGGGTTTTTTTTTTAAAAAAAAATGTGTGTTCCCAAAGTCCTCCTGAAAGGCACAAAAAGCCTTTTAAAATCTATTATACCCACCCACCACCAATTAATATTGTATTGAATATCCTCTTTCTAACCTCTTAGACAAAAAGGATGAGATATTACTTCTCTTTTAAAAAACAGTCATTTTCATTCACACTGACATATTAAGCAAACTTTTACTAAAACATACACTTGTGTTTTGTTTGTTTGTTTGTTTTCCAAGTAAGAGAATATAGGCCACTTTAATCTAATTACAGAGGCTTTGATCTCACCAGCAAGGACCCAGTCACAAAATACTATTTTCAGGCCATGTTGCAAGAATCTCCAATATCAATGAGGTGTGCCTTCCATGTAGGACATCGATAGTTATAAGGAATGTTCCATGTGCGTATCATGGGGGTGTCTTCGCAAGGCCCCTCCCCGGCCTCCTCATTCAGAAAAATAAATGGGGAGGGGAGGAGGTCCCTGTTCATGCACAGGAATGCTGGAGCTGCATCAGAAATCTTGAAGGAGGAGGTTAGTCCTGGTCACTCTCATCTCCACCGTACATATCTGCTAATTTTTTAAACCGTGGCCCCCAGTCACTCAGATAGTCATAGTCTTGATTTCCACCATCGGCAGTAAGTGACTCCAAAGAACTAAGTGAATTTGCCAGAGAATCGTTCCCTTCGTAGGCATACGTTGCCAAAGAGTCATAAGGAGGTGCGGTTGGATCCAAGTCATTTTCCTTTAGTCTGCGATGGATAAAATCTTGAATATCAATGTTTTCCCACAGAGATGCTGTCCTCCTTATCTGGAAAATAGTTTCTGGCATCACATCTCTTCTCATTTTGCTTTCCTCTCTGGCTTCAGGGTTCCTTAGCGTGCCAATATCAAAGGCTTGGGTATCTTCCTCCCCACCTCCTTCGTCGTTATAGGTGACGACGTTGTCTCGGACATCATCTTTTGAAATGATCAAGGGCTCTTTTTTCCGCTGGCGCTTCATTGCAGCAAACAACACAACCAAAACTGGAAGACAAGAGTAACAATATAGATGGGCACTGAATAGGAAACTCATGGACTAGGAACAATGCTGGCAAAGCCAAGAACCTTTAACATTCATTAGTTGCAGCAGGTAAGATTAAGATAAATATCACACTCTGAATTAAATGAAGGAAGTTAAAAAGAAAACCTAATTGAAAACAGCTTCTTTATCAATATAGAATGAACTGCAGGAATTATTCTTGATATATTGTTTGGGAATATAATGGCCAACAAATTAATGGGCTTGTTAAAATGATTAATCTAACAAGGATATATTTACAATGCATTCAGAAAGTATTCAGACCCCCTTCACTTTTATTAATTTTATTACGCTGCAGTGTGATTTCTAAAATTCTGTTTTCACTTTGTCATTATGGGGTACTGAGTGTAGATTAAAAGAGAGAAAAAATGAATTTCAACAACTGTAGCATCAGACGGTGGCATAACAAAATTGACAAAAGTGAAGGGAGTCTGAATACTTTTTGAATGCACTGTATATTTGAGCCCTGTGTAAAGGAGATTGTCATGTACGTTAAGATTATCCATAGGAACAAGAACTTTAATCTTTAAGCCAGATTCCTACTTTCATGGAAAGAGTTATAAATCTTAATACATGCATACGATTTTGTTTCAGTCTGATGCTGATCAGGCATGAGTGGTGAGCAACATATCCCAGAACCTAAAGACAGGAAACTTTTTTTGGTTCTGAAGGCATATGTGAAATTTTGGGGAATGTCAGAAGTACTACCATAAGTACTGCCATGGGGTGAGTAGGGCAATTCAGAAAATGGGATGAAGCCAAGCCAGGGAATTAAATTAATTAAAAGAAAATCAATACAAGCATTTTAAGGCATAGATAACTTTTAAAAAGTCTATATATTTTCTCCACTCACCTATAAATAAATTGACTTTTTCTCCTTTTCTAAAATAAATGACATATTCTTATCTTAGCCAGGTGAACTACGCCTCTCCTATCCATATTCCCCTCTTTTTAAAAGAAATACACAGAATAGCACGATTGTTTCTCCAATGGATTGATAAATGCAGACCAGAATTACTGTTGCTATGATTAAAACATGTTGTTTACCTGCATTTTTGTTATGTGGTTCTGTTTGAAGGACTCTTTTGGAATGCTTTTTCTGTATTATATAAATGTGCAAAATGGTGGAAAAGAATTCTTTTTCAAGATCTCATTATCAACAGATAATGAGATATCCTCATTATCCGGATAATAAGGGCCATCTCTTTTGAAGGCTTTATAATACAATTATGAAAACAATCCATATCAAAATGGACTTAACGCATTCCTTTTTCCATTCAACATTTTGTCAACTGTTATATGCTGTGAAATCTTCCCATTCTATACAAAAGAGGTTTTGTCTACTTTATGTGTATAAAATCATTTGTTTTATTTGGGGTTAAGCTCCCTCACAACCCGTTTTCAGTTTTCCCCAAGTATCAATATAGAAACTTGGCCTAGATTTGCTTTTCATCAACTCTTTTATAAATCAAAACTCCTAAAGTAGTTTTCCACCTCTTTCCCCATTTTTTCACATTCCTTGCCTGGACCTTCTTACTTTCCTTCTTTTCCCCCAGCCTTCCTAGCAATTTCCCTCCTAACCTTTCCCATTAGGGCAAAAAGACGAGTGGCCTGGCCATTCATGGTTATGGTGGCACATTTGTGTATTTAGACAATAGCACTAGGTGCCACATTCTTGAAAGCCCTTTTGTATATTTCGTATCCATGGATACCAAACGCCCAAAGAAAGCTTTCATTGTACTGAGAATCATTTAAAATGTTTCAGAAATAAATTGACTAATAAATGCAGGTGGCTTATCTGGTCTGGCCTGTTCTGTTCAGAATGTTTGAATGCAGCACTGATTTCAGAGAAGGAGAAAAACCCTCACAATGCTTGTTGGAATAATAGCAGGATTCTTTTTTCTGCCTCACAGCAGCTTTTCAGTTTCCACAGTCAGCTTCCCCTAGTATTTTTCATCGTTGTTTATAAGGAGAAATAACATCAAGTGTCACACTGAAAGACTGGCACTTTATTTAAAGAACAGGATTTAACAGCTTGGAGTTTTTTTTATTAAAAAAAACATGCTATCTCTACTATTTGGATGCTTTATGAACTTTTCTATGAACTCCATGAATGTAATCTGACAGCATATTTATATATTTTATAAATTTATAAATTTTATAAATATATATTTTAAGTCATTGGTTGTTGCTAGGTGTTTCCATGATCATTATTATTAGTGTATATCGTTACAGGAGCCCTGGATACCACAATGCTATGGTAAAATAGTAATCTGGCTTGCCAAGGGATCAGACCTGTTATAGGATATGTTTGCATCATGGTGGGTTCCTATTGGTTTGGACCGGTTCGGCCAAACCAATAGTGGTTTGGTGACCTGGGTCGCTGGAACCGGCAGTGACCCAGGCCTGCCATGGCCCTGAACCAGTTCTCTGGGCACACCGTAGGCATCACCATCTTGTTTTTTGCTTCTGTGCATGTGCAGAACAGTTTTTATTTACAATGTACCTGGCCTTGTAACCAGGAAAATCCAGAACCATCAGAAACCATCAGGAACCTGATTTCCTGCACAGAGCACCGGCTCATCTCCCTACTGAAGTGTTATCTATCTATCTACTTGCATTGAACATACTTTGAAACTGTTAGAAGGACAGATGTTGAGGCAAGTGACAGGAACCTACCCTGCCATGCGTCATTAAACCACTGAGCCACCATGTCTTTCATGTCTGTCCATCCAATACACAACACTATCAACATCAACACAACACAATTCAAACTGTTTTGATTCTATTCTCCCTCTAGTATTCTTTTCTCTCTCTAGTATTCTATTCTCCCTCTAGTATTCTTTTCTCTCTCTAGTATTCTTTTCTCTCTTTGAGTGCACCTTTTAACTTTTCCCATTAAAATTTTATATTTGCAGAAAATGAACTTTAAATCTCAACAAACCAGAAGAACCAAAGACATGAAAAATTATATTTAAAACTTCTGAGTGTGAGAATCAATCTGGGTGTCATCTGATATTTTAATAAACCAAACTCTCAGATTACATAGTGAAATATGCTGGTGGAATTCATGGAGGTAAAGACGAGCACAGAGTAAAATTCAGGTGTTTTCCATTTTCTATTCACAATAATCTGAGGTGCAATAATTCAATGTGACAAATATAGTGAGTATTGATACCAGCTAACCGGATGGGATCTTGAACTTTAAGAATTGTACAGCCACTCATGTTTTCCAGAAAATAAGACCCACGGGTCTTATTTCCAGGGAGGTGACTTCCACTGACCCACCTCATCTGCGTGCACTGCCTCTCACCTCTTTTTTTGCTGTCAGAGGCCTTGAGGAACTTTTTCTGCAACCAGCAAGCCCATCAAGGCTTTCCTGGAGGCTGCTGCACAACAGAGGTCTGGATTGAGCCAGAGCTCTCTTATCGGCTGTCGAGGCCTTTAGGAAAACCTTGCCAGCTGCAGAATAAGTGGGCCCGCAAGGCAGGTGTTGGGGTGGGTGGGACCTGACTGCAACTGTCTGAAGATGAGTAGTAGGACAACTCTATCCCCCATCCCCAGCTTCATTTTTACCCCTGCACCTCATCCCACCCAGTGCACCCTGGAGAGGGCGGGTCTTAATTATGGCATCTTTGGGGGATAGGTCTTATATTGGGCACATGTGTAGAAATCAACTCAGGGCTCATTTTCAGGATAGGTCATTTTAGTGGAAACATGGTATATAACACGCGATTATTTTAAGGAGTAAGTGAATGTCTGTTTTTCAATAAGAATAATGGCGGGGTTTTGATTTTAGTAATACAAACATCACCAGTGTGATAAACGTCTGATTTTGGTACATTTACCACTGAGTAAAACTATCCTCATGAGAGGAAAGGAGATCCTGACATAGGTCACCTTGAACCTCTGGAGAAATGGCAGGTGATAAATCTAAATAACTAGATTTAAAAAAAAAACTTTAAAAATATCAACTTTAACCCCTATCAATTAGCAATTTATTGCTATCAACAGCAGTTCCCATCTGCGAGGGACCTCAGAACATGCAGTACTAATGAGCAAAATTGTTTACGCATTAAAGTATCTGGTAGAATCTCTAAACGTTCTTTTTTTTAAACTGTAGAGATTTGAAATGAGATATCTATCAGAAATAAGATGCACTACGTTACTGTTGAAAATAAAAATCAAATCATGACATAATCAGTATCAGAAATATATTTTTTTAGAAATATTCCATTTTAAAACCAACCTGTAAATAACTAAGGCAACAAGCTAAATGCAGCCCATTGGTGATGTATGGTAGTCCACCAGTATCTCAGTCAGTCTTTGGATTGTGCTGCATCCTTATTATTTATTTATTATTTATTTATTTATTTATTTATTTATTTATTTATTTATTTGACTTATATACCGCTTCATAGGGCTTTCAGCCCTCTCTAAGCGGTTTACATTTTTTTTTTAGCAAATTGAGTCAGCAACTTGCCCCCACAGTCCGGGTCCTCATTTCACCCACCTCGGAAGGATGGAAGGCTGAGTCAACCTTGAGCCGGTGAGATTTGAACCGCTGAACTGCAGATCACAGTCAGCTAAAGTGGCCTGCAGTACTGCACCCTAACCACTGCACCACCTCGGCTCCATCCTTGGCTTTACAAGACTGAGAGTTCTCCAGCACCTAAATGCTGGAGAACTTACCATTTGTTAAAGCCTGGATCAAGGAGATCCTTCTGAAAATGTAGCCTCCGTGAAACAATTTCCAGGGACAAAGAGGGAAGAAGGAAATGGTCCACTTACTCAACAGAATCATAATGCAGAGCAGAATGGCAATGAGGGCGCCTGTGCTGAGGCCGGCCGGAAGGAGCAAAGCTTCAGCATTACAAGACTGCATGTTTCCCCTGCTGTCACAGGCACACACTCTGATGCTCAGTGTGCCCGTACTACTCTGGATGGGGTAGTCATTGTCAAATATTATTACTGGCAGGAGGTAGGTGCTCATTTTACTGCGGCTGTATCCATTCCGTCTGGTTACCACGCCTGCTGTGTTATCTGCACCAGAAGAACCAAAGAGACGGAAAATTATATTTCAAACATTGTCAGCAAAGGACTCAAAATGTAACATAGAGAGCCAATAATTAAAGCCCACCTTTGTTATCCACAATAGAGAAGTTTGGATGGACTGTGTATTCTGGCACTAGTTCAAAAAAAAATTTGTGTCCACGTGGTGGTTCATCTTTATCCACAGCACTAACAGTTTGTATCAGCTGCAAGGAAATAATTATATGTTGTCAGGCATATAAATGTTGCACCTTTTGCCTTGTAGCATAATCTGTTCAGATAAATACCTGTAGCAGTTTAGAAAGAACCACATAAATGAACTTTTACAATGGTTTTACTAAGTTCAACAAATCTACGTACAAAGGGGCTCTAGCACAATTTCCCATTACAGTGAGGGACTGTTCCTTTGGTTATCCATCTGTTGCTCAAACATAGTATCTTTCAAGCAAAGGGCCAACTAATTTTGGTGGGTTGCTAACAGTGGTGGGTTTCAAAAGTTTTTAGAACTTCTTTTGTAGGTGTGGTCTGCTTTGTGGGAGTGGCTTGCCAGCCATGTGACTGGGTGGGGGTGGATTGCCAGCGTGGCTAACTTGTAAAATGTGGTGAAACTCACTTAACAACACTCTTGCTTAACAACCAAAATGTTGGCTCAGAAACTCTGGCATTTGAAGCACGCAAGTCTTAAAGCTGTCAAGTTACAAGACCCTTGCACCCCTAACCCTTTAGAAAAAAACCCCAGGGGTGTTCAAACTTGACAGCTTTAAGACTTGTGGACTTCAACTCCCAGAATTCCTCCTCTCGCTCTTCATCTTGATGATGTGCAGACGGGTGGGGGGAGGGAACTGGAACCGATTCTAAACAGCAGTGTTGATTTGTGGAACCTCTTCTATAGAAGAGCTTAGACCTGGCAGGAACCCACCCCTGGTTTCTAAACACTAATAAGATTTTTTTTTAAAAAATGTAACAAATACCCAATTTTAGCTATACCAAAGTTCCAAAACGTATAATCACAGGGAAGTTTTGGTATAGCAAAAGCCATATTCACAGTTCAAGTGGAACAACAAGGAAACCTAGCATTAAGCTAGCGTCCTTTACGTGAACTATTCCCCAGAATATTTTGAAGTGTGCAGGATGTGTATGATAGATATTCCTTTCTTCTTTTTAAAAGCCATTTTCTACCTTTTCTTAATTATTGTACTTTCCAAATATAATAATTGAGCTTATCTGGGTGAGTGGTTTGCAGGTGGATGAAATATCTATAACACAAAACTATAAAACAACAACAGAAAAACTGTAGGAAAAAATATTAATAGGAGCTAGAAACCACCAGCAACACATAAACCAAATTTAACCAATTTCATTGTATTTATTTTGTACAATGACAATAAAGCCTATACTATTTAAAACCAGCGGCAGCTGCAGGAAGAAAAAGACTTAAGAATACACAAGCAAGGATATTAGAGGATTGGGAGAGGGGGAAAAGAATCATTAGTGCTCCAAAGACTTGAATATTAGGCCAATTTTTTTAGGAAGGCATTCTACTAAACATATCCAAGATCTACAGTAGCAGGAACTTTAGACAGAGGAGAAGAAGAATGACTTAATATGCTAATGTTAAGATAAACTTATCTTAAATTGCAGGATAAACTGTCAGTCTGGATCCAAGCCAGTTATGTCTTTCAGATAAAAGCCAGCACCATCTTTCAGACCAATTCAAACTGGTGGTTAGTGCAGTTGTCAAACTCAGGGCAAAGTGCCATCAACTCACCTCATTTCATTTAACAGTTTAGGTTTTTTTTTTCCTACTTAAAAAAAAAAACATCACCCCTCCCTCCCCCAAACAACTTGAAATTTTCAGATTTTGAAGACAGTCCCATGCGTAACACATTAAAATAAATCAAACGGGTTATGTGCTGAACTATGGAAAAGATTCTTTCTGGGAAGTAGCTAAATGGTTGGTATAGAATACTAAATTAATCAGCACTCCATCCACAATGCTACTGGTGATAATAATAGATTGACTCTCGCACACAAGGAATATTTTTCTGTCTGTACTGTACCTCAGATTAATGGCTCCAATTCAGCCTTTTGCTTTGTCCAAATATTGTTTGAGAGCGTCAACTGTCTCACTTATTCCAGAAGGAAAGGACTTTTGGGTCTCCTCCTCCACACTGACCCTACTGGCAGAATGGGAAGGCAACTATTTCTAGAGGACAGCATCCGATAACATGGCCCTCTATTAATCCTATGGTCTCTGCTAAAATGATGCCAGGACTTGGATTTTTGTTCTAAAGTACACTTTTCCATTTTATGTTGCCTCAAGTGCATTTCGGATAACACATGTCGGCATTCATTGGCTACTCTGTGGAGAAAATGATGCCTCTTCAACGGACTCTGTGCTTATCATGCTTTCCCTTTCCTTGTAAATCTGCCTTCACTAATTCTGCAATAACAGAATGCTTGCAACCCTTGCCTTTTAAATAGAACCTTGCTGATTATAAAGCTGGCATCTTCTTTAATTACTATTTTTACTCTTTCCGCTTTTTTTTTTAGAAAAGGGATTCCCCCACCCTATCTCCTTTATGATTGGTGTGCCACTGGATCTATTTTAATGATCTATTTCTTTTTAATGAGAATGATATTTGGGGCAAAGATACAATCCTTCATTGATTGATTATATGCCATTAAATTGATGCTGATTTAGCAATCATATAGATCAGGGCAGTCAAACTCACAACCTGCAGGCCGAATGCGTGACATGCTGGCCACAATGAACCTCTGTTTAGCAAAGGGGGGGGGGGAAGTCATGATACATCATATGACACCCCCATGATGCCACAATATACAGTAGCTATATGTTCTTCAAGATAATATGCTTTACATATTTCTCAAGAGAGCTAGGTCTTACCACATATATATAATATATTTTGAGATACTCATTGATTTGTCCAATGATCTGTTTATTTGATTTTATTGTGTTGTTTTGGCTAACACAAAACCTGTCTCTTGCACCTCTCCCTCACACCCTCATTCCCCTTCACCGACCTCAACTGCACTTCTTGCACAATCTCTTGCACATTCCCTGACCTGCACTAGGTCTATGGTGTAGGCGCTTGGACTCTCTCCTCGCATGTACTCCTTGCACCCTCCCCAACTCATGCTGCACTTCTCACATACCACTTGCACCCTACAACATGCCTTTCACCCACTTTTCATTTTAAAACATGAAGAGATTTAGTTCCTAGTTTACAACAAGATTGGTTCTTCTAGTCTCAGCTACACAAGGAATGTCCTTAGATCTAAGAAATGGTCATGGAAACTCCTCTTCCAAGACATTATAGCCCATCTAAATCATTAGAACAGAACAGAACAAAATTATTTATGGCCAAGTGTGATCAGACACATAAGGAATTTGTCTCCAGTGCATAAGCTCACACTGAACATATAAACAGAAAGTTTCATAGGTCATATATTTTGTTAGATGGGCAACTAAGGAGGAAGGATGGTGAACCAAAGTGGGTAAATAGCAATATGAGTGTCCTGGCACTAATACATAATAGTGATATTATGTCACTGCATGCATGTTGTTCTTTTAATACCATTGCTGTTTGTTGCAGAAGCCACTGTAATGTAGTATACTTCCTTATTAGGATTTTTCCCATTTGCTTGGAAAACTTCAATGCTAGCTTTTTGTAACCACAAGAACTAGAAAAAGTGATATATCATCAGTCAAAATTATTGGTTTCTGGATAACAGCCATTCTTAGGTATTTACAATATTTTACCTTTTCAATCTTTATATAATTTACTGTATAAATGCACTGTCCCTTTCTGCCTACAGTAACACCATTTTTATGTGTAAGTCTTCTGATGGAATAAAATTCCCATTCACCCTCCCCCTTACTAAAGTTATTGAAAGACTATGGATAAAGATATGGCAGTAAGCACTCTAAATTTTGAACATACTATAAAGTACTTCCATTGTTCACAAAAGAACCATGTTGTGAAAGATTATTTTTGCTTTAAATTGGTAGTTTTGCCTTTCAGAATTGCTGTTACTGCTTTAATTCAGCCTAGGTTGACATCTGTAGGCAAAATAAGCCAGATAGGAGTCTAAAAACTGTCAACCATTTTAATTCCTTTGTCAAGACAAAGCTTTACAACCTTTCCTGACCCACTGTATAAGAAGAGTTCTTCCATACATACATCAAATCAACTCTTTACCAATGTATAGATGATCACGAAAGGAAGATAAGCAAGTGAATTAGGGAGACTAGTAATAAGATCACTTACAATTCCAGAGAATGGAAGAAGGAATTGTCCTAGAAGTTAAATTTTATCTGTTTGTCTTAAGAAAATTAGGTCCATGTTACCAAATGTCAATTCTTTCAGGTTTTGTTGAAATGACTTTGAATTTTTTTAATTGAAAGCTTTTTAAAAATGTTTTATTCCCGCCTTCATGGTTTTTAGAAATAAGACAGGCAGTGAGGTCCAGCCCCGACAAGAATGAATGTATGAGGGTGTTTGTTGTTTTTAAATGGTTTCTTTTATCGTTATGTGTTTTTTCTTACATTTTTTTGTAAGCCGCCCGGAGTCCTTCGGGATTGGGCAGCATATAAATATATTTAATAAATAAATAAATAATAAATAAATAATCAACATGGCCTTCTTCCTCCTATTTTCCCCACAAGAAACCCATCAAGTGAGTTGAGAGAGAGTGACTGGTGCAAAGTCACCAACATGGCTTTGATGCCTAAATCAGGAACAGAACTCACAGTCTTCTGGGTTTTCTTTTAATAAGCGCCATAACAATTGGATTGGACTGGATGATCGTGACAATATATAAAATACACATTAAAGGGAACTGATTATATGCCAGACTTTCATGTCACTGTCCTAATAATCTTTTATGAAGTATCCTTACAGAAGAACATTCCTCTCTTGAGTCATTTTTGTCGTTTTTTTCTTTAACAAAAAGAAATCAAAAGTAAAATGATATAAAGTATATAGCTAGCTGCAAGCCCATAGGCTCTCCAGGTATATAAAGATGAGACCATCACTGCGAATCAAAGCATATAAATAGCAGACATGTGAATGGAATCTGGACATTTTATAATTAAAAACTCTTCCAAGTAATGGCAAACGTATTTTGAAAAAAAGTAAGACAACATATTTAATTGAAAAAAAAAACCTCAAAGTTTAGATTT